AAAGATAAAGCACAATAAAAGCAATAACAAACGAAACAACTTTAGCGGATAAAACTTAGCGAAAGACAAAAATAGAAAGGTGCATTTAACCATCAAATAACAATGAACCGTAGAAATCGAGGCCGTAACCGTCATTTCAGTTTGACGAATTTTTTAACAAAAGCACAAAAACTGGCTCCGTCGCAATTTCGGGCATGGTACCGTGGGCAGAATCGGAAAATCAAAAAAAAAATATTTTTAATAAAAAAATATACCATTTGGTTATTGCCTATATAACTTGGACCCAAAGAATCTTCGGTCATCACACGCGCAATCCTCCCCGTAGTGCCAAATTACAGAGAAGCAAAACACTCCTTCTCTTTCTCCAAACACTTTTGTTCCTTTTCTTTTTTTTCTCTCTCTTTTTTTTCTTTAAAAAAACCTTTTTAGAGAGAGAAAGTGAGTTAAAAAAAAAAGCCTTCCGAGTTGCAGAGAGGCAGAGGCATTGAAATCGGTGAAATTGTAACGTCTTTCACCCGGACACCGGCAACCGTTTTTAAACTTTCTTCTTCCCCCCACCCTTTCTATAAAATCCGTTACTTCACCGCCTTCCTTCCTCATTGTAACAGCCTCCGGGCTCCAGCTCCGCCGCTACTACTCACTAAGCTCAGGTACTTTTCAATTTTCTCTTCTCATTCATTTTCCCGGATAATTCAATACTTTTGTTTTTCCGTCTGTTTGTTTTCTCTGAAAACTCTCTTTTTTTGTGTCGGTTTTTTATATATGGAATTCTTCCCTTTTTTTTTTTTTTCTTTTTTTTTTGGTTTCAATTGACTATTGTTGACAACTTTCTAACTTTGCTTTTCGAGAGTAATCCAACTGAGTTCCAGGCTCAGTTACTGTTTTTTCCATTTGATTTCAATTGATGTCGGTGTTTTCCGAGTTCATGTTCTGTTTTCTGAGTCTCCTCTCTTACCAGAATCACTTTCCTGGAAAGCTCATGGTTGTTGACTGTTGACCCTTTATGTTAGTCAGGAAGTTTCGTCTTATTTTTAGAATATTATGAGATTCAGTCAAAAAGATCCATCTTTTTTCCTTCCCAGTTGGATTTCCGGACTCTCTAACTCCGGTGGCCGGACTTCGTAGCAGTCTTCCTCTGTGCTCTGTTTGCTTCTTCTTTTTTTTTTTCTCCCATTATTAAGTCACGGACGACTATTATGCTGAATGAATTCAGGTCGCTTATCTTATATATTTTTGGCGTTTTTCAGAACACGATAATAATGTACTTTTGAGGTTTCCGGCACAATAGAGTATGCTTTTAGACTTCTTTTTTTCTTATCTTGTTTTATTGCTGTGAGGTTGCTGAGGATGTTAGAGAAGATGGAAGTTCTGGATGCTGATAAAGTTATTGAGGAATTTGAAGAAATTAGCAAGAATGCTGAGAGGGTTCAGACAGAGACCCTGAAGAAGATTTTGGAAGAAAATGGGTGTGCAGAGTATTTACAGAAACTCGGTCTAAATGGAAGGACTGATCCTGATAGCTTCAAGGCCTGTGTACCGCTTGTTACTCACAAGGACCTGGAACCTTATATTCAGAGACTTGCTGATGGTGATAATTCATTGGTTCTCACTGGAAAGCCAATAACAACTATATCTTTGAGGTATATTTTCCATTATCCTATACTTGGTATTGTTTGATGATTTAGTTCAACTAATCAAGTTCTAGTGCTTTACGCCAAATTGATTAGTTTCTTTTTACTGCAGTTCTGGTACTACTCAAGGGAAGCCCAAATTTGTTCCTTGGAATGATGAGTTAATGGAAACTACTTTGCAGATATACCGAACTTCATATGCCTTTAGAAACAGGTAGGATTAAATGTTTTCTTCCATCTCAAAGAACCACTTAATTTGTTCATATAAGCAGTTTTTATGTTTTTGCTTTTCCATAGCTTCATAACTTTGGATTGTGATATGTACTATTTAGTTGAAACATTTATTTCTATAGACTTCAATGGAATAATTAATATAGATAGTTATTAATTGTCACCCGCCAAAGTAGGAAAATGAGTCCATGTTTCAATTTTTCTCTGCTGAGCAGTTCACACTCTTGTTAAGTAGTTGTTGTTTGCTAATGTGAAAAGGGGATTGGTGATATGCAGAGAATTCCCTATTTCAAATGGAAAGGCCCTGCAGTTCTATTACAGCAGCAAGCAAAGCAAAACAAATGGGGGTTTGGCTGCAGGAACTGCAACTACAAATGTCTTCCGCAATGCTCGGTTTAAAAATGCAATGAGAGCAATGCAGTCCCAGTCCTGTAGCCCTGATGAAGTGATATTTGGTCCTGATTTCTACCAGTCACTATACTGCCACCTCTTATGTGGCCTAATCTTCTGGGATGAAATTCAGTTTGTGTCCTCAACATTTGCTCACAGCATTGTTTATGCATTCCGAACCTTTGAACAAGAATGGGAGGAGCTATGTGCTAATATACGAGATGGGGACCTTACAAGCCGAATCACAGTCCCATCTATCAGAAATGCTATGTCAAAACTGCTGAAGCCAAATCCTGAACTGGCTGAGTTGATCCACAACAAATGTTCTGGACTGAGTGTCAGTGATTGGTATGGATTGATACCAGAACTTTTTCCCAATGCCAAGTACATCTATGGGATCATGACTGGATCAATGGAGCCTTATCTGACAAAGATAAGGCATTATGCAGCGGATCTGCCTCTTCTAAGTGCTGATTACGGTTCTTCTGAAGGGTGGATTGGAGCAAATGTCAACCCAAAATTGCCCCCTGAGCTGGCCACTTATGCTGTGCTTCCTCAAATTGGATACTTTGAATTCATCCCTCTTAGGGGAAATGTTGGCAACCTGCAGCAAGACAAAGAGGAATCAACTTCCCTCTACGTGGAGCCCAAACCAGTAGGTTTGACTGAAGTCAAGCTTAATGAAGAGTATGAGATCGTTTTTACCAATGTTGCAGGTAATCAATTATTTTTATAACTGTTAGCTCCTTTTCTTTTCGATGAGACTCTGTATTCTTCTTAATTAATTTTTAAAGGCATACACACACATTTTGTATGTTAATTATTTTCTAAAAATCCTGGTAGAAGGCAAACTTTGAGGCTGCTTAGCTTAGAGCTGGAGAATGTTAATTTGTTAAGACACAGAAAAGGACTAGTTAAAAACCTTGATTTGACATGTTAAAAATCCTGGTTGGACTTCTTATAGCTTAATTAAAAATTGCACTCCTATCTCACATAAATATAGTAGGTAAAGGTGTTTAGTTAGAAGTTGTTGTATCCTAATCAGCACATAGCTGTATTTTTTTTTTTTTTTTTTGTGGACCAAAATAAAAAAAGAATAAGAGTAATTTTTTCTTTTTGAACTTGGGAAATTAAGGGAACGATGACATCGACGACATTAATAATTCAAATGGATTGGACCATAGACTTTACAATGAGTTTTGATGCATTGTACCAACGTAGTCAAGGTTGGTGGGGGTGCAAGAGTAAAGGGTAATATAGTTCAAATTCACTCTATTTCTTAAAGTATTGATAGCAATATATATTCAAGAAAATTAATATTAAATGTACTCAATTGAAATGGAAAATGTTTTTTTTTTAATTATTAAAAAAATTAATTTCAATACATATAAAACATTAATTTAAAAACAACTTAACAGTAATTAAAAGAAATTATTTAGTAATTAGAATTCAAGATTGCAAAGTAGATGACAAAAACAATGTTGTCAGGGAATAATAATACAATTTTCGTCAAAAAATCATGGAAAAGAAATTGAGCTTAGTACATGGAATCATGCAAGAAAAACAAAGGGAAAACATCATGTTTTTACATTCTGTTTAGGGTTTGACAGTGTAGTTTTTGGAGTACGTTTTTGGCCGCCATTATCCGTCAGCGGTACTCGGCAAGGCAAATTTCTTTCTCGAGTACATTTTTTGGGAAAGTCAAGCGTGTATAACGTGAGAGGAAACTTACAGTAATTGGTTGGAAACAAAGTACTCAACGCTCTCCTCGTGGCTGGTGGTGT